AGCTTGGGAGATCAAGGCTCCAATGAGCTATGAACATGCCACTACACTCCAGCCTGGGCAGCAAAGCAAGATCTTTTCTCAAAAAAAAAAAAAATCAACATGTAATAATTGTACATATTTATGGGGTGCAACGTGATGTTTTGATATTTGTATATTGTGCAGTGATCAAATCAGGGTAATTAACATTGTTAAAATGCATGCTCTGAATGAGGAGACCCCCCCCAAACAGGCTTTGTGTGAGCAACAAGGCTGTTTGTTTATGCAGGTGTGGGTGGGCTGAGTCCAAAAAAGAGAGCAGAGGCAGAGGGATAGGAGTTGGTTTTATAGGTTTGGGATAGGCAGTGGAAAGTTACAGAAGTTACAGTTTAGGGCAGTTTTTTGCAAGCTGGGAGGGAGTCGTAGGGCCTAGAGTCACGACGTTGACCAAGGTCAGTTACAAAGTCCAGTGGCTTTGTCAATTGAGGCCGAAATAAGAAAAAATAGAAGAATGTGTCAGGTTAGTTAGGCACCACAGAGGTTGATCTCTCTTCCATTTTTCATGATCTTCCAGCTACTTCAGGTTTTCTAATTGCAGAAGTCCCTCCAGAGATGTACGTGTGGGTCACAGGGGTCATCATAGCATTCATGGCGCCGTCAGCTAAAAGACCTTATATTCCTGTCTTTTTATATTAGTAATATAAAGGAAAAAGAAGAGTGGAGAGCAGTGGAATATTAGGAAGGCCAGCACAGAGGGATGATGGGGTGATGTTTCTCAGGGCTTCTTCGAGCGGGATTGGGGGCGGGGCAGAAACCTAAAAATGGGAAAGAATTTAGACTGCTGGGAGATCTCGGGGCAACAGTGATATTGTGGGGTTGATAGAAGAAGCATTTGCCATATTGACCAATTGGGTATCGCTTATATATGATTTTGTAGGAATTGAGAGATTAATCAGAAAACACAGGGTCCAAATAAGAGAAGGAGAAAGATAGGTATCAGAGGACTAAGGATTGGAAGAAGCCATAACTCACAGTTAGAGAGTGTCCAGCCAGTCCAGCCAGGTCCAGAATAGCCATTTGCCTGATTGGTGAGCCTTTGGGCCCTGTCTTTTAATTTACTGATTAAATAAATTATTTATCATATAAATAAACAATTTATACCATTATTTATCATATAAATAAACATTTATTTTTAATCAATAAATAATTGAATAATTGTTTATTCAATTGTTTATTAATTGATTAAATTATCTATCATATAAATAAATAATTATTGTTTTTATGTAAACCAGTCGGGCCTTGTATATGATACAAGCTTTAAGTCGTTATATGGTTTACATAAAACAACATTCTTCATTTAGGAATAGGCAAAGACCTCCAGTCAGTAAATCAAGACCTCTGCAGTTTTGGAGGACAACTGCAGCTAGAGAATTTACTTGAGCTTGAAGAAGGGATGGTGATTGATTAATTCCACAATGCTAGCAGAGAAATTAGAGAAGCTACGGAAGGTGAGGCTTTAAGTGGTAAGGCCTACTATGCCTGTGCCAAGTGCAGTAGTAATTCCTAACCCTACAAGTAAGGGGATCAATGCAATGACCCGCTTGTGGCGTGTCGGGACCACATGGGGAACAGGGAGGCTTTTGTTTCCATTGGCAAACTGAATTTTGGGAGTAAGGAAATCTAGGGTACAAGTGCCTGTCCAGTTGGTAGGAAGGCAGATGTAAGAAGAAGAACCACAGAGGAAAAAAAGTCCTTGGCTTAGACAGAACTGGAAGTGTAAACTGAAAAGGTGAGAAAGTGTTCTGAGCGGGCTGGGGCCTTGGACCCAAATGCCGAGGGAAGCAGCAAGGGCTGTGGCTATTATCAGGGCAGCAGCTGCTGCTGCTCGTAGGCATGAGGGCCAGCCCAGGACTGCGAGGTTAAGTTGTTTGGATAAAAAGGCTACAGGCTGGGCTGTGGGCCCGGCTCCTGTGTAAGAATTCTGACTGCACAGCCTTTTCTTTCTGCTATGTAGAGAGAGAAGGGTTGGGAGGAGTTGGGGAGCACTAGCATAGGGGCTGTTTCTAAGGCCTTCTTTAAAGAGCGAAAGGAAGAGTGGGAGAAGGATTTGGGGTTTATGGGTTCAGCTAAGTTTCCTTTTGTAAGTTTACAGAGTGGTTTGGTTAGGGGGGCAAAACCTGGTATCCAGAGGTGAAAGTACCCTACAACGCCTGGGAAGGAGAGGAGCTGCTATTTAGTAAAAGGAGTTGGGGTCTGGGATAGCAACCGGACACAGTCAGCGGGGAGAGCACATGTGTTCTGTTGGAGGACTATGCCAAGACAGGTGATGGATGGGGAAGAAATTTGGGCTTTGGGAAAAAAAAGCGTTTTTGAGGTCAAGAACAGAATAGTGAGTTGTGGAAGGGAATATGGAAGATAGGAGGGTACAGGGATTTGGTACAACCAGGTAGATGGGAAGTACTATCTGATTGATGAGGCAGAGGTCTTGGATTAGTCTGTAGAATTTGTCTCGGTTTGGACAGGTAGGGAAGGGGAGTTGTAAGGAGAATTTGTAGGCTTTAAAAGGCCATGTTGTATTAGGTGGGTGGTAACAGGCTTTAATCCCTTTAACACCTGTTGTGGGTTGGGGTACTGATGCTGAGCAGGGTAAGGGTGATTAGGTTTTAATGGGATACTAAGGGGCATGTGACTGGTTGCTGAGGAAGGAGTAGAGGTGTCCCATACACATGGGTCGAGGTAGGGAGATGTGAGAGGAGGTTGTCAGAGAGGCTGTGAATCAGGCAAAAGGGCAGCTATAAAATGTGACTGTAGTCCAGGAATAGTCAGAGAGGCAGATAATCTAGTTAAAATGTCTTGGCCTAGTAGGGGAACTGGACAGGTAGGAATAACTAAGAAGGAGTGTGTAAAAGAATGCTGTCCAAGTTGGCACCAAAGTTGGGGAGCTTTAAGAAGTTTAGAGGCTTGGCCGTCAGTACCCACAACGGTGATGGGGGCAAGGGAAACAGGCCCTTCAAAAGAAGGCAAGGTGGAGTGGGTGGTCACCGTGTCAATCAAGAAGGGGACGGACTTACCCTCTACTGTGAGAGTTACCCGAAGCTCTGCGTCTGTGATGGTCCAGGGGGCTTCCGAGGTGATCAGACAGCGTCAATCTTCTGCCCCTAAGCCAAGCAGATCTGGGAAAGAGACAGCATTTTGAGCCGGGCTGTCTGACTTCCAGTGGGGTCCTGCACAGATGGGGACATGGCTTAGGAGAAATCCTGGGCTGCAGGCGTTCCTTGGCCCAGTGGCCAGGTTTCCGACACTGGAAGCAGGTCTGGGAGAGGCGGCTGGACGCTGCAGCCTGGGAATTTTGAAGTATTTGTGAACCAGTGGTGTGGCTGGGATGTGTCTTACGGCAGAGGCAAGCATCTGTAGTTCTGAGATGCACTGCCTCCCGGCAGCTTCTTCCCGATATTGAACACCTTGAAGACAAAGTTGATTAATTCCCGTTGAGGGGTTTGAGGGCCAGATTCTAATTTCTGTAGCTTTTTTGTCATGTCAGGGGCTGATTGAGTGATAAAATGCATATTAAGCGTTTTTCAGGAGTAAGAGAAGTAAGGATGACATTTAAGTAATTCCAGGTGACATTATAGGACTGGGTTAAGTATTAAAGGATCTGATGAAAAGGAGCCTAACCGTTGGTTGATTTGGGAAGGGTCAGATAAAGAGAAAGGAATGTGCACCCTAACTGCGCCCTTGGCTCCAGCCACCTCTCAAAGGGGGAATTGTCGGAGGAGTTAGCTGCAGGACTAAACTGTAAGCCAGACCAGGTATAAGGTGGGGAGTTGACAGGAGGGGCATAAGGAGGTGGTGTGTGGACAGAGGAAGAGGAGGAAGCCTGGGGGGGGGGGGTGGGGCCTCGATTAGGGTCTGGTTGGAACAGGCAGGGAGAAGAAAGGTCGGAAGGGAGGATACACAAGGAGGACTCTGGGTTACCCGCAGAGGCAGGAGAGGCGGATGGAAGGGAGAGAAGGAGCAGAGATTATGGAGGGATTAGAGTGTAAAAAAAATGCCTGGATGTCTGGCTCCTTAGACCATTTGCTCATTTGTTGACAAAAATTGTTTAGGTCTTGCAGAATAGAAAAATTGAAAGTGCCATTTTCTGGCCATTTGGAACAATTGTCTAATTTGTATTGAGGGAGTCCATGTTACTGAAAAAGAATTCGACTTTTAGGTTTTAGATCGGGCGACAGTTGAAGAGGTTTTAGGGTTTTTAGGATGCAGGCTAGAGGCGAAGACAGAGGAATAGAGGGCAGAATATAGCCCATGGCAAAGGAGATAAGTTTTTTTGTTGTTGTTGTTTGTTTGTTTGTTTGTTTGTTTTGAGACGGAGTTTCACTCATGTTACCCAGGCTGGAGTGCAATGGCATGATCTCGGCTCACCACAACCTCCGCCTCCTGGGTTCAGGCAATTCTCCTGCCTCAGCCTCCTGAGTAGCTGGGATTACAGGCACGCACCACCATGCCCAGCTAATTTTTTGTATTTTTAGTAGAGACGGGGTTTCACCATGTTGACCAGGATGGTCTCGATCTCTTGACCTCGTGATCCACCCGCCTCGGCCTCCCAAAGTGCTGGGATTACAGAGATAAGTTTTAAGGAAAGGAGCAGAGACTAGGAGAAGGAGCGAGCAGCTACCAGGTGTTCAGTAGGCATCCCTGACTGATTCCTGGGCTGTAACGTAGGTGAGTGATCAAGGCAGGCGTCCCCAAAATTGACCAGACACCAAGGGAAGAGTCTTGCCTTCCTGAGTCCATGACCTATGCTGGAGTTTTTGAGCGAGAGGGAAAGACTTGTCTCCTCTGGCTCTACAAGTGTCTCCATTGTCTCTACTAGAAGGAGAAAGATTTAAAGGAAAAGACAGAGAAAGAGGGAGAGACTTGTCTCCTTGGTATCTAAAGGAAATGAGAGAGAGAGAAAAAGAGGGAGAGACTGCTTACCCGATCTGAAGGTGGCTCAAGCTGCTGGGCTGGTCTGATATGTTGAGGTCTCAGGTGGGTCTCTTCACAGAGGGAGAGCTGGTCTCCCGAAAGGAGTACCCCGTCCCTGGTTTCGGCACCAAATGAGTTTCGCTCTTGTTACCCAGGCTGGAGTGCAATGGCGCGCGATCTCGGCTCACCGCAACCTCCGCCTCCTGGGTTCAGGCAATTCTCCTGCCTCAGCCTCCTGAGTAGCTGGGATTACAGGCACACGCCACCATGCCCAGCTGATTTTTTGTATTTTTAGTAGAGACGGGGTTTCACCATGTTGACCAGGATGGTCTCGATCTCTTGACCTCTTGATCCACCCGCCTCGGCCTCCCAAAGTGCTGGGATTACAAGCGTGAGCCACCGCGCCCGGCCTCGGCACCAAATGTTAAAACACGAACTCTAAGGCCGGGCGCGGTGGCTCAAGCCTGTAATCCCAGCACTTTGGGAGGCCGAGGCGGGTGGATCACAAGGTCAAGAGATCGAGACCATCCTGGTCAACATGGTGAAACCCCGTCTCTACTAAAAATACAAAAAATCAGCTGGGCATGGTGGCGTGTGCCTGTAATCCCAGCTACTCAGGAGGCTGAGGCAGGAGAATTGCCTGAACCCAGGAGGCGGAGGTTGCGGTGAGCCGAGATCGCGCCATTGCACTCCAGCCTGGGTAACATGAGTGAAACTCCGTCTCAAAAAAAAAAAAACACGAACTCTAAATGAAGACCCCTCCCCCACCCCCTGCCCCCAGACAGGCTTTGTGTGAGCAAGAAGGCCGTCTTTTCACCCAGGTACAGGCAGGCTGAGTCTGAAAAGAGAGTCAGCAGAGGGCAGAGGGATCGGAGTTGGTTTAATAGGTTTGGGGTAGGCAGTGGAATGTTACAGAAGTTACAGTTTAGGGCACTTTTTGCAAGCTGGTAGGGGGTCATAGGTTTGCAAGCTGGGAGGGAGTCATAGGGTTTGGAGTCACAAGGTTGACCAAGGTCAGTTTCAAAAGTCCAATGGCCTTGTCAATTGAGGCCGGAATAAGAAACACTAGAAGAACGTACCAGGTTAGTTAGACGCCGCAGAGGATGATCGTTCCTCTGTTTTTCATGATCTTCCAGCTACTTCAGGTTTTCTAATTCTGGAAGGCCCTCCAGAGGTGTACATGCTGGTCACAGGGGTCGTCATAGCATTCATGGCACGGTCAGTCGGCCTAAAAGACCTTACAAACATATCCATCATCTCGAACATTTATCATTTCTTTGTGGTTGGAACATAAAATTGTCTCTTCCATCTGCTTTGAAATATGCAATATCTTATTGTTGTCTACGGTCACCTTACTGTGCAATGGGGTACTAGCACTTCGTCTTCCTTTCTAAATACAACTTTGTATCTGATTAACATGCTGTCCTCATTGCCCCTTCCCCTACCCTCACCAGTCTCTGGTAAACATTATTCTATTCACTACTTCTGTAAGATACACTGTTTTAGTTTTTGTTTTTGTTTTGAGATGGAGTCTCTCTCTATTGCCCAAGCTGGAGTGCAATGGTACCATCTCAGCTCACTGCAACCTCCACCTCTCAGGTTCAAGCAGTTCTCCCTCTCTCAGCCTCCCAAGTAACTGTGATTGCAGGCCGCTGCCACCACACCTGGCTAATTTTTGTATTTTAGTAGAGATGGGATTTCACCATGTTGGCCAGGCTAGTCTTGAACTCCTGACCTCAGGTGATCTGCCTGCCTTGGCATCCAAAGTGTTGGGATTCCAGGCGTGAGCCACCATGCCCGACCAAGATCAACTGTTTTAGATTCCACATATGAGCAAGAACATGTCATTCTTTTTTTTTTTTTTTTTTTTTTGATGGGTCTCACTCTGTTACCCAGATTGGAGTGCAGTGATGCGATCTCAGCTTGTAGCAGGAAATTAGAGATTTGGAGAGACAAATGGGTTGCAGGGGGATTTTATTTAACATGATCACGGGCTCAGCCGAATCGCTTCCTAATTCTGAGCAAAGGACAAAGAAAATGGGGTACTTTTTATGCATCTAGAATGACACAGCAGGTACAGAAGCCAGAACAAAGAACAGTTAATCAATTTGTGACATGTCTTGTGATATACTATACATTTGAAAAGTAACATTTTGGGAAATACATTCCGCAGTTTCTTTTTTTTTAATTCTTCAGCTAAGACAGCGGAAGAGGTGATTTATTTTACGGTTGTTACACTCGGCCACAAATAAACACAGAAATAGTCCAGAATGTCACAGGTCCAGGGCAAAGGACCAACATGGGCAGTTTTGGTTATGAGCAAGGTGGGTCTCAGAGGTGATCGGCGATCAGATGGCGATGAAGTTCTAGATCTATTGAGACAAGCTCTAGACAGTAGCATGCAGTCCCACAACTTGTACCAGCATCCCCAGCGTCTGGCATTCCATGTTTCTGCTCCTGCCTGTGACCTTGCAGCTGGTCAGCAAGAAAAACAGGAATTTCTAGATGCCTGGGAACTTTGCTAAGAATGTGGGGACGATAAATAAGGGTTGAATGTTTTGCAGGAAGGCAGTTTAACATTCTGCCTTAAACAGAGCTGGGGGATATTATATTACACAACACAACAAAATATACTTTATTATATAGCAGCTGTAAATTGTAAGGTTTTGTTTTACTACTATTGCTATAATTTCCTTCTGCAAGCTTACTGCAACCTCCACCTCCCAGGCTCAAGCAATCTCCTTACCTCAGCCTCCCAAGTAGCTAGGACCACAGGTGCAAGCCACCATGCCTCACTAATTTTTTGTAATTTTGGTAGAGACGGGGTTTTGCCATGTCACCAGGCTGGTCTCGAACCCCTGGGTTCAGGCAATCCCAAAGTCCTGGGATTACAGGCATGAGCCACCATCCTGGCCTGAACATACAGTATGTTTTCTGTGCCTGGCTTATTTCACTTGACATGATGTCCTCCAGTTTCATCCATGTTGAAAATGACAGAATTTGGGGGGCTTTTTTATGGCTGAATAGTATTCCATTGTGTACATATGCCACGTTTTCTTTTCTTTTTTTTTTATTAACAGAGTCTCACTCTGTTGCCAGGCACCAGGCTGGAGTGCAGTGGCATGATCTCGGCTCACTGCAGCCTCTGCCTCCCGGGTTCAAGCAATTCTCCTGCCTCAGCCTCCCGAGTAGCTGGGAGTACAGGTGTGCACCACCACACCCAGCTAATTTTTGTATTTTAGAAGAGACGGGGTTTCACCATGTTGGCCAGGATGGTCTCCATCTCTTGACCTTGTGATGTGCCCGCCTTGGCCTCCCAAAGTGCTGGGATTATAGGCGTGAGCCACGGCACCCGGCCATGCCAGGTTTTCTTTATCCGTCCATTCATTGCTGGATGCTTAGGTTGACCTCATATATTGGCTAATAAGAGTTAACTTTTATTGAGCACTTACTATGGGTACTTCTTATACATTATCTCATTTTTTCCCTAAAATAAGTTAGTAGTAGTGCTACTACTTACTCTATTTACAGAATAGAAACTAGCTTAGAGGTTAAATTACACGACTAGCAAAATAAAGAGACAGAATCCAAACCCAGGCAGTTGTGGCTCCAGTGATTCTTTTTTTTTGAGTCAGGGTCTTATTCTGTTGCCCAGGCTGTAGTGCAGGGGCACGATCACAGCTCACTGGATCCTCCTACCTCAGCCTCCTGAGTAGCTGGAAGTACAGACACATGCCACCATGCACAGCTAATTTTTTGTATTTTTTGTAGAGATGGGGCCTCACACTGTTGCCCAGGCTGGTCTCAAATTCCTGGGCTCAAGAGATCTACCTGCCTCAGCCTTCCAAAGTGCTAGGATTACAGGTGCATCACATCCAACTTCTTTTTCTTTCTTCTTTCTTTCTCTCTCTCTTTCTTTCTTTTTCTTTTTTTTTTTTTTGAGACGGAGTTTCACTCTTGTTACCCAGGCTGGAGTGCAATGGCACAATCTTGGCTCACCGCAACCTCCGCCTCCTGGGTTCAGGCAATTCTCCTGCCTCAGCCTCCTGAGCAGCTGGGATTACAGGCACGCGCCACCATGCCCAGCTAATTTTTTGTAGCTTTAGTAGAGACGGGGTTTCACCGTGTTGACCAGGATGGTCTCGATCTCTTGACCTCGTGATCCACCCTCCTCGGCCTCCCAAAGTGCTGGGATTACAGGCGTAAGCCACCGCGCCCGGCCTTTTTTTTTTTTTTTTTTTTGAAACAGTTTCACTCTGTCACCCAGACTAGAGTGCAGTGGTGCCGTCTCAGCTCACTGCAACTTCCACCTCCCAGGCTCAAGCAATTCTCCTGCCTCAGCCTCCCGAGTAGCTGGGATTACAGGTGCATGCCACCACACCTGGCTAATTTTTTATTTTTAGTAGAGATGGGGTTTCACCATGTTGGCCAGGCTGGTCTCAAACTCCTGACCTCAGGTGATCCTCCTGTCTCAGCCTCCCAAAGTGCTGGGATTACAGGCATGAGCCACTGCCCCCAGCCTCTCTTTTTCTTTTTTTAAACCGTCTTATTAAGATATAATTCACATGCCATACACTTCACCCATTTAAAATATATAATCCAGTGCCAGGCACAGAGGCTCATGCCTGTAATCCCAGTACTTTGGGAAGCCAAGGCAGGAAGATCACTTGAAGTCAGGAGTTCCAGACCATCCTGAGTAACATAGTGAGACCCATCTCTATGAAAAAGTTAAAAGTTAACCAGAAAAACCTTCTATGCTCATGGATTAGAAGAATCAATATCATCAAAATGGCCATTCTATCCAAAGCAACTACAGATTCAATGCTACTCCTTTCAAATTATCTACGTTATTTTTCACAGAATTAGAAAAAAAAAATTCTAAAATTCATATGGAACCAAAAAAGAACCTGACTAGCCAAAACAATTCTAAGCAAAATAAAGCTGGAGGCATCACCTTGACTGACTTCAAACTATAAGACTGCAGTAAGCAAAACAGCATAGCACTGGTACAAAAACAGACACATAGACCAATGGAATAGAACAGAGAACTCAGAAATACAGCTGCCTTCTGATCTTGGACAAAATTGACAAAAGTAAGCAATGAGGAAAGGACTCCCTATTCAATAAATGGTGCTAGGATAGCTGGCTAGCTACGTTCAGAAGAATGAAACTGGACCACTACCTTTCAGTATATGGAAATATTAACTCAATAAGGATTAACAATTTAAATGTAAGACCTCAAACTATAAGAATCCTAGAAGAAAACCTAGGAAACACCATTCTGCACATCACCCTTGGGAAACAATTTATGACTAAGCCTTCAAAAGCAATTTTTTTTGAGATGGAGTTTCACTCTTGTTGCCCAGGCTGGAGCACAATGGCATGATCTTAGCTCACCACAACCTCCACCTCCCGGGTTCAAGCAATTCTCCTGCCTCAGCTTCCTGAGTAGCTGGAACTACAGGTGTGCACCACCACGCCCAGCTAATTTTTGTATATTTAATAAAGATGGGGTTTCACCATGTTGACCAGGATGGTCTCGTTCTCTTGACCTCGTGATCCGCCTGCCTTGGCCTCCCAGAGTGCTGGGATTACAGGTCTGAGCCACCACAGCCAGCCTCAAAAGCAATTTTGACAAAAACAAAAAGTGATAAGTAGGGCCTAATTAAACTAAAGAGCTCGTGCACAGCAAAAGAAACAATCAACAGAGTAAGCAGACAACCTAGAGAATGGGAGAAAACATTCACAAACTATGCATCCAGCAAAGGTCTAATATCCAGAATCTACAAGAAACTTCACAACTCAACAAGCAAAAAACAAAATAAGCCCATGAAAATGTAGGTGAACGACGTGAACAAACACTTTTCAAAAGAAGGCATGCAAGCAGCCAACAAACATGAAAAAATGCTTGTCACTAATCATCAGAGAAATGCAAATCAAAACCAAAATGAGATATTATTTCAGGCCAGTCAGAATGGCTATTAAAAAACAGGCCAGGCCAAGCGTGGTGGCTCACGCCTATAATCCTAACACTTTGATTACAGGCACCAGCCTGGCCAACATGGTGAAACTCCATCTCTATTAAAAATACTAAAATTAGCCGAGCATGGTGGCGGGCCCCTGTAATCCCAGCTACTCAGGAGGCTGAGGCAGGAGAGTGGTTTGAACCCTGGAGGCAGAGGTTGCAGCGAGCTGAGATTGCAACACTACCCTCCAGCCTAGGCGACAAACTAAGACTCTGTCTAAAAAAAAAAAAAAAAATTAAAACAAACAAACAGGCTAGATGCAGTGTTTCATGCCCGTAATTCCAGACTTTGGGAGGCTGAGGAAGGAGGATTGCTTGAGTTGAGGAGCTCAAGACCAGCCTGGACAACATGGTGAGACTGTCTCTACTAAAAAAAAAAAAAAAAAAAAAATACACCATATATATATGTAGCTAGGTGTGGTGGCATGTACCTGTACTCCCAACTACTCAGGAGGCTGAGGTGGGAGGATCGCTTGAGCCCAAGAGATCAAGGCTATAGTGAGCTATGATCATGCCACTGTACTCCAGCCTGGGGGACAGAGCAAGACCCTGTCTAAAAAATAAAAAGACAATATATTAATACAATCCAATGGTTTTTTTAGTATATTTATAGGATTGTGCAACTATCACTACAATTTACTTTTAGAACATTATTGTTCTCCCTAAAAGAAATCCCATACCCATTAGCAGTTGTTCCATCCCCACCTCCTCACTCCCAACTACTAATCTACTTTCTGTTCTATAAATTTGCCTATTGTGGACATTTTATATAAATGCAATTCATTTCTATAAATGAAATCATTACTTACCATGTTTTCAAAGTTCATCCATGTTGTAGCTGTATCAGAATGTCATTCCTTTTTATTGCCAAATAATATTCTGTTGTAAGAATATACTACATTTTGTTTACCCAATCATTAGCTGATGAGCTTTTGGATTGTTTCCACTTTTTCACTGTTATAGCTAATGCTGTTTTGTTTCCCCTGCTTAAAGCATTTGATACATAACAATCTCTGTCTAACTCCATTCCAGAGTAAGACAGAGATGCTTGGTCTCAAACATTTTTTCCTTGAGGATTACTGTGAAAGTTGTGCTACAGCATAATCATTGTCTCTATTTATTTATTTGTTTGTTTATTTTTGAAATAGAGTCTTGCTCTGTCACCCAGGCTGGAGTGCAGTGGCATGATCTCAGCTCACTGCAACCTCTGCCTCCCAGGTTCAAGTAATTTTCATGCCTCAGCCTCCCAAGTAGCTGGGACTATAGGTGTGCGGTACCACACCTGAATAATTTTAGTATTTTTAGTAAAGATGCGGTTTCACCATGTTGTT